CGCTGGGGGAGGGTGTGGGGGGGACCCTGGGCAGAGGGGCGGCGGGGGGCTCGGCCGGGGCAGGGAGAGACAGGGGTCGGAATCCTGCTGTAGCAGCAATGCTGGTGTCAGGAGGACGCGGCTCCTTGAAGCGCCTGTGATGCCCAGAGCGCTGCCTGCCCCCGGCCCTGCCCCAAACGTGCTTTGAGCTGTGGTTATGCTGTTTCAGGCATTTCGCCCCCCACCCACCGTCCCCATCGGAGCTTTATGGTCCCCTGGGACTGCCAGGCTCTGAGGTTTGCTCCGGGGAGCAGCCTGGGGGCTCCTGGCTGGAAATGGGGACCTATGGGCATCTCTACCTGGGGTGGTCACAGCAGCACCCGAATGGCCTGGGGGGGTTGGCAGCTGCCACGTCCCTGGGAGGAATTTTCTTCCTTCCTCCATCCTGGGCAGTGCTCAGGTTTCCACACCTGCTCCGGCGGTGCCAGGGTGTGTAAACCCCGGGAGTGTGCTGGGAGCAGGCGGGCATCACCCTCTGCACGCTGGGAGGACCGCGATTCCTGACAGACCCCGAGGAAACCGTGCATCATCCTCCTGCGCAGCGCAGCATCCTCCATCCTCGTGCCGGTGCTGACCTGGCTGCAGGCACACGCTGGTATGTGCAATGCAGGACATCCTCTCCTCATCTTCTCTCCACATCCCACAGTGGCCAGTTTGCCATCGTACGGAAATGCCGGGAGAGGAAAACGGGTCTGGAATACGCGGCCAAATTCATCAAGAAGCGTCGGCTGTCGTCCAGCCGTCGGGGCGTGAGCCGGGAGGAGATTGAGAGGGAGGTGGACATCCTGCGGGAGATCCAGCACCCCAACATCATCACGCTGCACGACATCTTCGAGAACAAGACGGACGTGGTGCTGATCCTGGAGCTGGTCTCGGGTGGCGAGCTCTTTGATTTTCTGGCTGAGAAGGAGTCCCTGACGGAGGAGGAGGCCACCCAGTTCCTCAAGCAGATCCTGGACGGGGTGCACTACCTGCACTCCAAGCGCATCGCCCACTTCGACTTGAAGGTGAGGTCTGGGAGGTGCAAACACCCCGTACTCGGCAGCTGGGGAGCGGGGACGAGCATCCAGGCTCCTGCGGAGCAGCGGGGCTGGCTCTGGGATCTCTCCCTACTTGAGGCGTGTGTCCTCTCCTCCGGGGAGAGGAGCCTGGCGCACCACGAGGCTCCCGTGGGTGAGCCTGTGGGGGTAAACGCCGGCTCCTCTCCCCCCGCAGCCAGAGAACATCATGCTGCTGGACAAGAACGTGCCAAACCCTCGCATCAAACTCATCGACTTTGGCATTGCCCACAAGATTGAAGCTGGGAATGAATTCAAGAATATATTTGGGACACCGGAGTTCGTAGGTGAGGCCTGGCTGGTGGTGTTCCTCTGGGGCTCCTGCGGGCTCAGAAAGCTTTGGCGTAATCCCGGGGAGATCACAGAATCACAGCATCCCAGACTGGTGGGGGTGGGAAGGGCCCTCTGGAGCTCCCCCAGTGCCACCCCCCACCAGAGCAGGGGCACCTCCAGCAGTGGCACAGG